AAATGTACCTTCAGGTATCCGTCAGGAGAATCTGGTTATTTTTTAATTTGGAATTGAAGGTAGCTGGTGCAAGGGTAGTATGTGCACGTGAATTTGGTCTAACAAAGTGAGAGGAAAAGAGCATATATTATAAAAATCAAGTTACCCATTTGATTAAAATTTTAAAGTTTAGAAATCCCCTAATCTTGCGATATTACAATATGCATCTAATGCAATTTTTTCGTGTTATTTCTTTTATTAACTGTTATAAACATGTTTCATTTATTTATTTTCACTTTACATATTTCTATAGTATTCTTTTATAATTTAGTTTTTAATAGGTTTAATTTTTTCCGTTCTTTTCAACACAATACATCTAAAGGATTGTAGAAGCGCAGAAAGGCAATCTATTGGCTGTATGAAAAGCCCTAGGAGAGAAATTGAAGAAAACAGTATTAGACTGTTAATTTTTAAAAAAAATAAATCGTTTAAAGCATATCAATTGGAAGAACCTTGGAAATAATTTAAAACCAATTTTTGATAAGGGTTTTGCTCGTTTACACAGATATGAACTCACAAAACCCAAGATCTCTTCGTCTTCTATTGTTTCTTTTAGTAAAGTAGAAAACGGTTTTTTTCTCAAATTGCTCGTCTACTTCATTGCCAATACAAAAATCAACAATCTTTTGACCTAAAGAGCCTATCTATCCGGGATAATCATGGAATCGGAGATTAGCTGTAACGAAAAGCCAAGTAATGGATTGTAGAGCAGGAGGGAGGGTTAGTGGGTCGTCGGATGAGTTTAGTTTAGTCGGTTGGGTTGGCAATCGTGTTACAAGAAGGGGAGCAGATGGTGATGGCGATGTTGATGGTCGACAAAATGGTGGGGGTAACCAGCTTGAACAGAGAAAAAAATATACTCATCGAAAAAACCACCAGTTACTCATGCTCAAATGTCTATTATACTGGATGCTAAATCCCCTGGGCTCGGAATTTTGTTCCTCGATCGAATAATCAAGGGTGTGTTTGGATAACGAACACGAGAAATTATTGGGGGGTACAAAGCTATGCACCTTTGAAAGAATCATTGAGAAATTTTAGAAGTAGAAAGTTTCTTGTACTGAATTGATTGAAAATACGTAGTATGATAAAAAAATTTATACCGTGGCTTATTTGTAGTACAAATTATATTGGGTGAAATTGGCCATTGCTCATATAGTTCAAATTTTTAATGTTAGCATAGGTAACAGACAAGCTTGTTTCGACTATAGACAACACTTGTTAATTATTATAATTGGGAGAAGGATTCTTCTTGGTAATTGTCAACATGAGGTCGTAAAAGGAATGAGCGATCGGGGAAGCGGAAGATCAAAAGAAAATAGAAAAAAATTGAAATTGGAATTTTGCCTGATTAGTCACCATGTAAACCATATGGAGGTCAGTTGTATTTCTTGGTATGGAGGGGGCATTGTTGTCGAGCGGTACACCTGGAATTTCTTTTAACTTTTATACCAAACTTTTCATATTATGGCTGTTCAAATAATAAAATATATTATATTTTGGGGTTAGAACAATGCAAAATCACCGAAAAAACTGATCTGAACCCAATGGCGATGTCCTATAAGCGATAAATTTTTAAATTCTACCTGTTTGAAATGGTGGAAATGATTGTTGTTGTCTAAGGAGATGCTAGTTGCCACCGGTTTCAGCAGTTCCAGGGTGTACCGTCCGCCGATTTCCGGAGAGGACAGCTTTCCCCCGGTGCTGCTGTAAAGGTAATCCTTGTCCGAGGTCGACTGCATCATCGCGTGAACAGGTGCATCACAGCGGTTCTAGAATCGCACAATACACAGAGGTACGACGTGCAGAAAATGGGTTGTTCGGTCAAAAAAGGGGTGTTAAAAACGACCGGTACGTTTGAACTGGATAAAACGGAAGTCGGAGGCAAACTGGAAAAGTGCGAGAAGGAAGGGTACCTTCTTTCACATCCCCTCTCTCTCTTTCTTCTCACGAGTCGCTCCTCCCAAAGCCCCTTTAAACCCGTCCCCACCAAAACGGCGGTAGTGCTTTTTGTTAAACGGATTATCGCCCTAAAGTTATGTTACACTGGTCCCTTGAACCCTTGAAGTCATACCTTCTTAATAAATTCATAAATCGAATATACCTATACTGTCCAACTATTCCAATAACGTTACAGAAAAAATGCATCAGCACTCCGGCTGCTCTCTTTAACCCCAAGTGTTTCATGTCGTACACCCCAAGCATAGAAAAACAGTCAAATAAACGTCTAAACTTTCATCAACTGGTGTGAATTTTTATTTAACATACATAAGTAAAATCAATTAGTCCAAATATTTCATTGAGTCTCTTAGATGAAAACTTCGTCAAGGCCTAAAATTACCGCATAATCTTGGATTTTGAAATTTCCTGCTTAGGCACTGGAAAATAATAAATAAACTTGAGAAACATATAGTTGAATAATACGCGTCTGACATTACACCCACATCTATTTACAATCACAACATCTCTATTTGGTCTTATCGCCGGAACATTTGGTTAGTTCATTAGCAAAACGCCTTTTCCTGTTGTGTTCAATAATCTCCTTAATTAATGAAATCGACCTTAGTAATAATAAAAGAAACATGGTTTTTCAGTGATATTACAAAACCATATTTTAAAATGTCACCCTCCATTCCAAATAGTGATTTAACACCTTCACAAAACCTGAATTCATGTAATTTTTAAGAACATGTGGTCACATCGACAGTGTGAGTGACACATCGAGAGATGGTTGGATCGATATCAATTATCAATCCATCTATTCGTGGATTTTTCTTCATTCTATCTACAAATGTATTCCAATTCTGACAAAATATTACAGTCGTGCATTCGAAACTGCTTTAAATACATTTTAATAAACAGAAAACTCGTATATCTAGGTGTTTCGACAATATAACATTATCATCTAGCCGTTGCGTGGGGGTTAAAAAAGGAGAATAGAAGCAGTGTTCTACTGTACTACTATTTGATTTTAGGTATTTGGTAGGTTACCGATTATGATCAGTATTGCTGAAAGATTGAGAAAATAAAGACAGAACCAAAAGAATCAATCTCAATCCGGCACAAACCCATATGAAAAACTAATGTGAGTATTAACAACGAAACACTTCTTCAATTCTAGCATACATCATAAAATGGCGGCACATACGCCCAAACTATTTTATTAGTGTGTATGCGTGGGAAAAGTAATTGGTCATGTCTCTCTCTCTCTCTCTTTCCCCGTCTGTAACCATTTTGTTAATTTGTTAATCTCTCTCTCTCACTCTCTCTCTCTCTCTCTCTCTCCTCTTTCTCTCTCTCTCTCTCTCTCTCTCTCTCTCTCTCTCTCTCTCACTCACTCTCTCTCTCCCTCTCGCCCATCTCTCTCTCTCATGCAGGCGGCATGCAAATGTCAACACAACAACTCCATAGACTAATTTAATTGAATAAAATGAGAAAATAATTAAATAAATCTATCTATGTACAAATTAAGCATTTTATGGTTTGGAATTATATGTAATAAATAAAACAACATTCTGCAATAATAAATGGAATACACTTGTCTGAGAGGAGAGTGCGTCGTACATCCCCGCTTTCTCTCTTTCTCACTCAATCCAACACACGCACGCACGCGCGCACACGTACACACACATACACACGTGTGAGACATTCAAGGATATACCAATGTATATTATATATTATTTACACTTCTTTTCCTGTTGTTGATTTTTTATATTTCTTGGGTTTCCTTTCAGGAACTAGACAACCATTAAACTCATTTTCTTTTTATACCTTATAATTTTATAATTCGCATATGCATGCGTTTCAAAAAGAAAACGAGACTCGTAGCCCCGAAATCGAGATCGAAGAAAAGAAATTGTGTTTGACGGTTGTCTAGTTCCTGAAAAGAAACCGAAGAAATATAAAATGTATATTAGCTTTTTTTTAATTTCAGAGAATACTGTTTTCTTTGTGTGTGTGTGTGTGTGTGTGTGTGCGCGCGCGCATCACATGAACCAATATTAACACTCGAAACAACTGTTAAGTCACTAGTTGTGTTCTTAAACTACTTTTAAAAGCCGGCCATTTCTCTATTATAGTTTTTATTATCAATAATTAAGTTTGAAGTTAATTATTTAACATCCTATGTTGAATAATTACGGCCAGTTATTTGGCGTGAAGTTCTGTTTTGTGAAATGTGTGTCAGGTTTCTATATTTTTTATTTATAAACTAACACTAAAACTCTTGAAACAAAAAACAAAAAAAAACGACCGAGGCCTGATTCCATTAGCATTGGAGTAAAGCGAACGGTAAAATAGAAAACGGAAGGGGACTAAGTGCGAACGAAGGGGACAAGGGGGGGGTTGATTTGGAATTATTAAACATGGGAATTCGAGCCTTTACCGATAAATGTCATACAAATTTGAAACCATTCGAGAATTGTTAATGGGGCCGAACTTGATGGAAAACTAATTTAGATTATTTCCTCTCGGGAAGGGCCCTTTCACGATGACAATGGTAAACAAGTAAAACGGGTTGATGAAATTAATTTTCGATTATCGTCGAATTAAACTTAACGAAACGGACTAACGAGAGCAAAATAACTTTTTTAACAAATAAAATGAAAAATTTAAACTGTACTTACACATTTAAATAATTTAATATTTTTTCCTATGCGTACTACAATATTAGATTAAATTTAGCGATCAGATTGAAAATACGAAAATAAATTTAATAAATTTGACCAAATCTTTCAGCAATTTGGATCAAAATTGCTTCATTTTTTAAACGATCCGACCTAGAAAACTATTGATACCAATATGGTATACATGGGGTAAGTAATTTTCCGTTTATTTGAAAATAATGCAGGAACTTAAAAGCAATCTCATATGTCACACAATATACAAGGAAAATAAAATTTACTATGTTACTTGATCCGCGGCCATAATTAATTATATTTCAACAGAGATTTTGGACTCACCCAGTTTTGGGTCGCGGCTCCCTCCAACGGCTCTGCGGCTGCAGTCGTTTCAATGACCTGCACAACCCCAACAAATTACTTTATGAAAATAAATATTAACGAGGAGGGAAAAAAGTATATGGAAAATTAAAGCGAAAAAAACAAACAACACAACATACCGCCCACAGTAATGATTTGTTAGTAAAACAACAATTGATGTTTTAATGCGGTTAAAAAGATGGTACTATTAAAACGAACGTACTTTTTCATGCTCGAACTTAATTTCTATAAACTATTTTCCTGAGATTACAACTATTCAGTTATATTGAGTTCCTCACTACAAGTGAAGGCGACCCCATAAATGACCCAATGGCGGTTCAGCACAAATATACATTCTAAGTATATTACTATCTATCTTCACTTAATTATTAATCAAGTTTAGGTAATCAATTTTTTTCCAGTGGCACGACGTAATAATCATTTATTTACATAAAAAAACGTTTATGCCTATATGTTTACATTGGAAGCTTTTGGTTAATACTTGCAGAATGAACTTTTTGTGTAGCTTACGAGTAAATCTTCCCGACTACTTCATTAATCATGGGAGATGTTGGAAAAAAAACTTTAATGGTGTTGCCAATTCGCCGTATATTTCCGGTCTTGGGAACTAATTTACGACTCGTTTTCATCGTATATTGTATAAAACTTGAAATCCATGATGCATTTAGAATGCGCAGTGAACAATGATAAGTTAAAATGAGGGGACCGCGGTGGCCATCGGTTGGACCTCCGACTCGTATTCGCCACGTTAGAAGTTCGGGGTTCGTATCCCGGTAGAACCCAGCTTTTTTTAACAGAAAAAATAATCATTTATGGGGATAATGGTTTAATTAGTTAATAGATGATAATAATTATATTCAAAGTGATTTGACCCCATCGTCCGCGAAACCCAACGGGTAGTTGAACGTTAAGCCCTCCTGTACGACAAGAATTACTACCATAAATGAAATGAAACCGACTAAAATGACCGAACGCAATTATTATAACCGTGCTGTACAAAATATTACATACATGGAAAGTCATCAACGGACAGTAATTAATGAAGAAGGAAACAAAAACGCATTGTTCACGCTATGACGAAATGGCGCTTTGTTATTTGTAAAAACGAACTTAACGTGTACAGTGTGCTGGAGGTGGTACAAGTACAAAGAAAATCTTGCCCAACGTTTTGCACTTCATTGATGAGAGTCTACTTTGGGACCGATCTTAAAATTTTTAAGCAAGCTAATTTAATTTTAACTTGAACAATAAATTGCGCAAATGTGTTGTCTTTCGAGGAATAATCTTATAAAGAGAGTGTGCTAAGGGTCGTGGGAAAAAATAATTTAATAAAAGATTTTAAACATTGAATTGCTTGCAGTTGAAGAGTCGACTTTGAAAAATGGTTTCCAATGCAGGAACGTTTGAGAATTTGTCCGTTTGTTTCAAAATTTCTTACTTGATAAAAATGCCGCAATATAATCGTAAAAATATAGTTGGGTGAAATGAAATAAGTTGCTAACGATATAAATAATGGTATAGGAAAGCAAATTAATTATTTAATTTTCATTTTATGTGTCGTAGACTCTCTCTCTCACTCAGACATAAAACACACACTCATACACACACACGCGCGCATCTCAGCTCACAGGCGTTGACATATCAATACAATTAAATCTTTACAAATAAAATATATTTATGCTTTTCAACTTCAACAGAATATTCGAAAGTCCATAAAAAATCTTGGTTCAGTATACTAATAAATAACCTTATATGGAATTTCTTTCCTCAAAAAGACATAACAAACCTAATAAGTACCTGCGACGAACTTTCATCAGGGGCTTAAAATCAACTGATTTACGGCTAATTTACTTAATTTTATTTACGGAAATCGCTTAGAACATGGCAAAATGCCGTTAGAAGTTCTGTGAAATTAATCTGAAGTAATCTTTAAAATTAGTGTCGAAACAAGTAGGACAACAAGCACTCTCTACCTCGACCTCACTCTCTTTCACTCTCACACTCTCTCCCTCTCACATTGAATGCTATATTAATTTATTTTAATACAATCATTATTATATTTGTTATCTAGGCATTTATGTGGTTCCAATAATGGTACAATACCATAAAGTGCATTATGCTGAAATCTATTTCCAAAATCACTCGTGTTTTTAAATATCTAAGGTCATAAAAAATCCCTGCCAAGCACTATACACAAGTATATTAATTGCATTTTTTGTTAATATTTAAAATATCAAGGAGGTAACATAAAATGTACGGATTTCTTTTCAATTTGGTTTTTCAGTGTGTTTGGACGCAATAATAGGTTATTTATGTCTTTAGCTTGTCAGTTCCGATTATAAATCAAATTCATAGGTAAGCTAAAGAATATATCAGCCACTGGTTTACATATTTAGTAAATAACAGATACCCCAACTTGGTGGTCGCCTGTTATAAATATTGCAATAAACAAATACGGATGAGGAAGTGTGCGAACAAAATTGGAAAGAGCTAGAACGTGAAAAGCTTAGGAAGTAAACTTGTCCCAAAGTACCCAAAGCCCGTGTGGAAAGCACAAATGTAAAAGTCATGTCGCCACCTCCCCCGACCATCACGCCGCCTCAAGGATCTCAATAAATTCAATCCTTGCGCGTTTAAGAACTTTTTCTCGAATTGAGAAAATTTAGCTAGAAAGTGAAGTTCTAGACGCTAAATTTCAAAACAATATGCCAAAGGTTGTCATCGATCAAGTTCGAAGGATTTGAACATCCTTTTGAGAGTGTATCAGGAGGACATTAAACCGAAATTGGATTGGTAAATTGGGCCTTTGTGAGATAGTCTTAAAGTGCTTTCTAATCCGACCTATACTATCAAAAAGAAAAATCAGAACAATTTTGATGTTATTATCCAACCCTTCTTTGTTGTTGTTTTTTATTTTTCTTCATAGAATTTTTTTTTGTGATGAATTAATCCAACCTTTGTTTGATATTTTTATTTATGCTTTTCGGGAATGTATCCCGCCCCTTCTTCAGTCAACTAGTTACAATAAAGAAATTCAATGGTTTTAATTTTACTCATTAATTTTATTATTTAACTAGTGGTCTGAAAATGGAGCAGGATGAAAGTATAAATAAAACTAAAATAAACACAAATAAAAAGTATAAATAAAAACAAAACGGTTTGATTATTGTATTAAAAAAACAAAATCTACAAATAAAGAACGATTTGATCCAGGAGAAGAAACGTGATATACACTTGTGACAGTTGGTTAGAGATGTTATGTCCATGATGATTAAGGAGAAGAAACAAGCTTCTAGCGTCACAAGTCACAATATCACGTTCCTTCTCCTGGATCAAATCGTTCTTTATTTGTAGATTTTGTTTTTTATTTTTGTTTTAATTTTGTTTTGTTTAGATATATGTTATGTATATGCTAGAAGCTATTATATATGTATAACGAATTAATTAATGAAGAAGATCAACTGTACAAAACCTTTAAATAAAGTTAATAATAAAAAATAAATGTCAATGTCATATTTCATCTTTACGTTTTCAACCTAGGAGGGTTGTTGCGCCTCAACAATCTGCAGGTGGACCGATGTAAATACAGATATTCTTATCAAACGGCTGCGTGTACAATCCTCGTTTATCATTTTGAAACTTTGTTCACCTTAGCAACATTTGGAATAATTTTTCGCACGTCGTGATAAAAGCAATGGAATGAACGACTGACTGATTTAAAATAATTGTTGTAATGTTTTTTTTTTGCTATCGACCAATGAAAAAGAACAAGAGTTAATGATGGTAGGTGTGAAATTGTGAAAGATGAACGAAGAAAGCTGTTATATGGCTTGGTGGTTATTCTATTTAATTTAACTTAATGATTAGTTAATACACTTAATTCACAAACATTTTGTACTCACCTCTCGCTTTCTTTTTACGGCCGTTCCTGAAAATGAAGAAAAACATTAGAAAGGGTTGACAATTTATATTATATAATTATATACCCCATTTATATATATAATATATTTATATTATTATATACCCCCCTCCGAGAGACCACCGTATGCCACACAGCTATAATCGAAGAAGGGATTTATAAGGGAAGATGCAAGGAGTTTGCGGGTGGAGAAAGGTAAGAGAAACCAGGACCGACGAAACAGGTTGAGGGAGGCAATGGAATGGCGGGAAATTTGGGAAATGTGAGAATGCCAGGAAAGGTTTTGGTCAAAGACTACTCCTAGGTTTTTAACCGAGGAGCAGAAGGGGATGGGATAGTTATTTAGCATGAGAGGTGGGATGCTGGGGAGGGAATGGAGGAGTTGCCTGGACCCGATAATTAAGGCGGTGGATTTGGGCGGATTGAGGACTAGGGAATTTTTATGGGCCCATTCGTTGATGGAGTTTAGGTCTTTTTGGATCTTGAGAATGGCCGAGTGAGGATCGGAAGGGTGGAAGGATATGTACATTTGGGAGTCATCGGCTTATAGGTGATAGTTACAAGACTGGATGGAGTCGGGCAGGTCATCTCACCATCTCAGAAGCCACTGAGAACAGTAGCTGCAATATGAAACGTCCCCAAGGATTTAATGAAGTAGTTTGAGTGGGTATTTATTCTCTATATTTTCAATACAAAAGAAATTAAGGTTATCCCTGAACAATATGAAATCTTAAGACGATGAGAATTGTACAGAAAGACCTCGCCACTTTGGTGTGTCCATCCAGTAGTTTACTATACAAACCTAGAAACCCCATTATACCTGTACCTGCGAGAGATCTCAATGACAAAGCCCGTGTACTAGGTTTGATAGATGATACTGGTTTTGATGGGTTAAACCTGTAAAAGGCTTTCACGTCAAGTTACAGCAATAAAAGATTCGATAGTCTCAGTCATCAATGTTATTTAACATTCACTAGTTTCACGGTCTCGAAACTAGTGAATTTAATAAGTTTAAATGAAGTATACCTTCACCAAAGCTCTCCGTCGCCATTTCATTTGTCGCCGAGAATCAAATAGATTACACGACATTTGAACAATGGCAAAAAGGAGGGAAAATTCAAAAGGTGGGGTTGAGATGGGAAGTTAGTGTGTCCGAGTGGATCGAGGTCACGATAGCTCAAGTGGTAGAGCAGCGGCGTACAAGCCGAAGATTGTGGGTTCGAATCCCGCTCGTGACACTGACTTTTTTATCTCAACTAAAAACCTTAATTAATTGAAAGTTATTTAACATGTGGAATGGATGACAAAGGTCTGTAAGAACACCAGAGGCTCCCCAAAATGTGCGTGAAAAAATCAATTCACTGCAAGTCACTTTTCCGAAGTAATTGAGCAATACTACCTGGATGACCTGAGACATTAAAACATCACGCTCTCTAGGCATCAATGTTATTGTACATGTCGAACATATTACAATTCGAATTTGAGGACAACAATAAATTTGAATGAATTCCGTGTTTTTTATGGAATAATCGTTTGGGTGCTTATTTGGTTTCGTCGTACCTCTCTATACGTTAGTTAACACAAGTTACAATCTACCCTATAATATACAGTTAGAAGTTACAATACCCTATAATATCACAACATTGGACTAAAACTGAGTTTTCTTATGCAACAAACTGAGCAACAATTGTCCAGCAATCCAGGAAGACGGATAATTTCAGTCGTCACCAGTTCACAAACACACGGCAAAGAAGCTTTATTTAACATCGGTACAGAAACTAGTCACTATAAGAAAGATTAATAATTAATAGGCATATCTTTATACGGTTTTGTGGAAATAATGTTACATACAACTAGTATCCACATATTCCAAAATTAGTGAACAATACTCCTCGGACGGAGTTTCATTTTAGACATCAACGTACAAAACAGGGCAACAATTGTCCTCGATGACCTCAGGAATCTATGTTATGTCGAACACATATTGAAGTACACTTATAGCAAGCGGAATATGTCACAATGGAAATTTATTTCAAGATTAGTTACTATACGACATATTAATTTATAAGGATCCAGCATCGAGAAAAGCTTCATACCATTGGGTTTGCATAAACTAAGATGTAACTGTATACCCACAATACACTACACAAATATAACACTTTAAACTAAGTGATCAAGAATCACTTGAAGAAGTATGACCTCATTCCTCAACGGGCCGAAGTCTTGTGGAACACGTGGAATCCATCTTTAGCTTGGCGAAATGTGACGGTAACAGGGAAGGTACAAGAGTCATAAGAAATATGAATTACTGTAAGAAAGGTATTTAATTTGGATTTTAAAAGCTCAAATCCCCATAATGAATTAATTTAATTAGCACAATATGAAGTTAAAATGAGGGTGGAGTAAAGTGTTTTTCATACATAACTAAAGTTTAGTATAGATTAAACAGCTTAACAAATTAAAGAAAAACGTTCGTGTCCTTGGTATTCTTCAAATTATCTACATTCCTCGGCTTCGTTAAAAACACTGTTTTATTTTTTTCCCACAAGCCGTACAATACCGATGAGGCCATTTTCTTCCATAAAGAGGTTTTTATTGCTTTTGTACAGACATCAAGGACTCCTGGATTTCTGCAACTGTCATTCTCAAGGGGAAACGCTTCCGGTCTTGTAAAGAAGGAATTTTGGAATTGAAATTATCACTTTACGAGGCCAGAAAATACCATAAGCAATCAATCAGACATATACTTCCTTTATAACTCATAACCCAACAGCTGCGAGACCACAGCTGATGGAAAGAAACCAAGTATTACCTATTCTTCTCCCAACAGCTCGCAACATTAAATTATTATTTTTTAAAAGAGAAAATCTATTAGATTAAGTAAAATACTCTTTTCGACTGCTGAATTATAAAATTTATAAGGGGGTTTTGAAGTCGAATATTTCTTTTCCTCGTCGAGTCAATTTTAATTAAAAATAAATACCTTTATGTTTGAGTTTTTTGGTAACATTGATATCAATAGCCCGGATATTTTCTTGTGTTTAACATTAATTTGCATGTTATCAGTGTTTAAGTTAATCTTTGCTCATGAATTCTGCCGATTTAAGGTTCCTTCCCGTTAAAAAGCACACCGTCTTGAAAGAAAGCATTAGCAAGACATGAATTTATAATAAAACGGTATCTAAACGCCAGGTATTGTTTTAAACTACAAATATTTAAATCCGATTCTCTAACAATAATCCGATAAATAAATATAGCGATTTGAAAGTAAGAAAAAAAAGGTAATTATAATCCGTACGTCAGAGAATTTTCACGTACTGTTTAAACACTGTCATATGACACACCTGTTCCGAATGTCTGTTGGAATTACCGATGTGGATAATTGTGCAGACGGGCAAGTTTTAAAAGGCGAATTTTCGAGTTTGCTCACCTGGTGTGGAGTTTGGCCTCTTTGTGGAAGTGTTGAATGGGAAATAAGGTGATTCAGGTGAGAAAGACTCGGCAGATCCGCCGTAGCCGCTTGTCGTGTAAGCAGCCGCAGCCGCCGCCTAAAAAAAAATAAACAAATAAATCAAATAAACATCAATATCAGTTAAACAGCAATACATTTAAAAATATAAAAAATAACAAATCCTGCTTGTATGGTATATGATGATATACCATAATAAAATAAATTAGAACAGAGTTCATTTGTTTCCCACACAATCTGTGGATATGTTTGGTAATATACGTATTATAAAACTTAATTTTGTCAGAGGTAACTGTTCCCTTCAGAGAATTCTCGGAAACGACCCAAATATTAACCTGCGCCCAAGGTTTTATTAATGCTTCTCGCAATTAAAATAATGATTTCCGGCGAGAAGGCTTTGTGACTCCTCGAATGCTCTTTTTACTTCTAAGGTCAAGTGCTACGGTGCCAAAACCGCCTAAGCGAAAATCACTGCCATTCACATAATTAAACACTAGTTTAACATCGATTTTCACTCCTAACCCCCTCTAAAATAGTTTGATTGCTCTCGATTAAACCGTTTATATAAATGAATACTACCCAGAGAAGAATCCATGGAAGTGTACGTTCAATTAAAATATAAAAAATCAATTGATATGATTTAATGTCTACAAGGATCTGAATAATCTAAAATGTATTTTAGACTTAGATGGGTCAAACCGTTGCTCAATAATCTTCGGACGTTCACCAGGCTCGTCCCGATTACTTATCGTTGAAACATGAGATACTAAACTAAATAATGACCTGACTATCTTATTTTTTGGCTAAAATGGAGATGCCGGAAGCGGGCGTAACAACCAAGGGTATTGTAGAAAAATAATTAATTAATTATGAAAGTAACAAATGTCACTGCGTCGTAATAAAAAGTCGCCAATTTCAATCAGAAACTGTTTCAAGAAGAGTTTATTAAAAATAATTTATTTGCATTGAAAGTAGTATAACAACCTGTTTTCTACTAATGCTGATGAACGCAGGCAAGTATGTTTTGTAACTTAAATCACAATTTCGGGCGTCGGTGGCCGCAACGGTTTAGGCGTTGACACGGCGCTCATCATTGTAAGGTAAAGGTCCCGGGTTCGAATCCAGCGGCCCTGCATTCGAACCCGACATACTTACAAATGGGCTTTTTTTCAAAAACACCCGCACCCCGAGGGTTGATATAACCTCTGCTGTTGCTAACCCTGCTGTTGTAAAAAATAAATAAATAAATAAAATAACATACGGCCTCTAACGGTTTACGCGTTGACGGCACCTCATCCTGCAAAGGTCCCGGGTTCGAATCCAGCTGCCCTGCATTCGAACCCGACGTACTTACAAAGGGCTTTTTTCAAAAACACCGACTTCTGCCTTTGTGAACCCTCGTAAGAAAAAGAAAAAGAAATGAAAAAACAAATTTAAACTCTTTACATTTTATTCACCAGTACTACAATAAAATTTATTGTAATCAGGCATCAACATGTGTTAGAATTTAAACGATAAAAGTTCTAAAACCAACGTTTTGAGGAACAAGATGCGCTATCCACCCGGGTCGAAACAAACAGCGAAAATAAACGGACCATATTGTCAATTTTGATCAAGTGGCTATTTCAATCTTAACAGAACTTCCGACCGTATAATTTTGTCTACATGTTGTGTATTTGTGTACATTCGATTAATATAAAATACACACTGTACAAGAAAGAGCAATTAAGAGCGAATGAAAAGTTTAGATCATACTGCCACAGCTATGCTAACGATAATGCAAACGTAATTAATAAGCAGTTATTCACTTATTACCCTCTTCCATGACTAAATAATAGAAAAAGTAATGAACAAAAAAATATCTTGGTTGACAGAACTAACTTTGCGAACTTTGTCAAAGGACTGATGTCAATCATAGAGGAGTCACAATATCGGCACCATGAGTTTAGCTTTTGCGCATAGATTTCACTCTACGATAGAGTGATGGTGTATGCAAAGTAGATTCAATGATTATAGAGTCTGCGATAAAGGACTTAAGATCGAGAAAAAAGACTTCTTATTCAACTGGGGAGTGCATTAGGGTCAATATTCTAACCTGCTCTACAATGATCAAAAATACTAAGGCTACCTTCGCTAATCATGACATTTACTGCAATCGTCACGGATCTACCGAATCCAAAACAACTGATCCCGAGTGAAGAATCAGATTAAATGAAAGAAAAGTTAGTTTAAAAGGTACTCTTGGACTTCACCAACAAACAGGAAAATACAGTACATTACAGCACACATCGATGGTAATGGATCGTACGTTGGTATGAAGAATATGACGCGATGGAAAAACCGTCTGGGTAGATGTGTAGTTTTCTATCGTTAACAATGTGCATCTTCAACAAGTGCTGAATTCCATGTGTGTTTATAGCATCCAGTTTTGGAGCTGTTCCAGTAATATCAGCCGTCAAGTTATCTATTCAAAGAAGAGAATCTAACAGCACAGTCAATGAACATTTCCAGCGAATTATACGGACGCCATATCCCGCCAACAGATGCTGGAAGGCCATGTTAACGGCTATCCACCTGCTCTACGTCGATCACTTCCGAAACGTGTGCGACCCAGACGTGTCAAGCCCCATGACAGTGCAATTAATAATTAACATATAAAAACCAATATTGCATTTGTACATTCAATATAGCTCAATTGGCCATAAAAATTACACATTATGTACGTTTCGGTTAAAATTTAATAACATCATTTCCTGCTGAAGCCAGCGGAGTGATATGAACGTGTGGTTCGGTCGTTTCCGGTCATTTTGATCTGCAACTTGCTCTTTTGTGTGTCGCTGGCAAGTTTCGCCTTCTCGTCATCTTCAGTGGTGGATCCGTAATGATAACAAAACTCCAAAGGCGTTCGAATTAGGGACAACAACCTGTTCTACAAAGATCGAAAATACCTTCGCTAATCATGACGTTAAGTGCAATTGACCCAAAAAAGGAAAATTAGATTAAATGGAGGAAAATTTCCTTTTTAAATGTACTCGTCAACTTCGCCAACAAAAATGCAAATACAATGCGAACGAACAGCAAGAGTAGGCAGATCAAATGATCGGACCAAATGAAAATTTAATTTTAATCATGTCACTCGACAGGATAGAAGATATTCAAAAACTGAAAATCACGATTGTGATATGATAATCTGAGTACTGAGCAGTAAACAAAACAATCATTATTAATACGATAACCAACTGTTGACTGTTATGGCATTACAAGAAGATAGACCCCCATTTCTCCTGACCACCCTAATAATAAAGAGATAAACCTCACTAGTGAGTAAAGGTCGTTATACACTCACGTCTGACTATTTGATTAACATATTAAATATTAATTTTCTTGCATGTTTTAAACGTCTGCGTGAAGGGAAGTAGTAATGGACATTATGCCTGAGAAAATTTTAATAAGAAGATGCATAAAAATTTAGTCGAGGCCTTAATTAAAGACTTCTTTTTTAGACTTCGAGGAATAAAGGGTAATTTGTGCGGCCACACGAAATGAACACTTTTATGCAAAAAAAGGTTTGTATTTATACCTTATTGTTTGAAAAAGCTGTGGGAGGGCAGCTATGTTAAACCGGATGAATGATGGCCAAACTTCTAACCCTCTCCGCACCGAGTGAAGTGAGAACTACAAGTATCATGAAAGAAGGGAGTTCCTTACGTTTTCTTCGAGGATATTAATGGGAAGAAGTTGATGCGAGAACAGTTTACTTCTTGTCTTAAAGCTATAAACCACAGCTCGCTTGGTCTCCCCTCGGCCGTCTACTTCTCGTAATTAGAGATGAGGTAATGTCTTGAACGAGTCCCGCCTCACTACTTAGTAAGCAGTTAGTAAACCATAGAGACTTATCTTAAACTCTGCCACCCCACATCGTAACATCACAACCCCACTTACGTACACTCCCTTCTTAATACCACCCTGGATCTAAGACTTTTTAGGATGACAATTAATCTCGAGATATGTATTAAATGCCACTCCTCTTTTCTTTCTCTCTGTTAATTTTTATTTTTTGCAATTTCCGCTGGACAATTACGTTACAGAACAGATTTGCAATAAATATGATGTTTTCCGTGGAGAATACTCCGTCAATACATTGAAAACAAACGCTTTGAGCCCTGAAGGTGATCTCAATAAAGATCGAAACATTGGCACGATAAATAAAATGTTTTTCTAAAACCTACGTCACGCCAGACCGCATCTCACGATCTCCGAATAATCATTGACTAATGGTCACCTAAACACCACACAAATATCATCAATATAAGAGGACATGGCTTTTCGGAGCGATTGTTTATCGAATTAAATGGGAGCATATACGGTTAGAATTGTTAGCCAAAACGAGTTGGCGAGAAAGCTCACTTCTCACGATAGCCAGAAAGATAGTTAAACATAGAGCCAGACAGAGAGTTAGTGAAAAGACTGCAGATATATTATGGAGAGGAGAGAGTACATACAGACAAGAGAGAGAAACAGTCAGACAGACAAGTAGGCAAAGATGGGATAGATCGTCAAATGTAGCATAGTGAGAAAAGAAAATATAAAGACAAAAAGGGACAACGGGGATGGGGAGAGAGAGAGAGGGGAGGGGAGGGGAGAGGGAGTGGGAGAGGGAGAGGGTGAGGGAGAGGGAGAGGGAGAGAGAGTGAGGAGAGAATTAACACTATTTTTGATATTTAAACACAAAAGCTTCTTGTAAATTTAATACTTACGTATCACGTAAGTATTATATACACATTATACATTAAAAAATCTTTTTAATTTATTCAAAACAATTCCTTAATGATTTCAGTATCACACCTTAGATATCCAATGGGTGTTAACCGGAAATGTAATAAGTACCAACGTGTACGTAACCGAATCCTCTTATTGTCTTAATTATTTCACTATTTATTCAATATATACACTGGCATTTCTGCCTCAAAATTTAACTAATTTAAGTGTTATTCTTTGGCACCCTAGATTACCATTACCTACGAAATTGTTACCATAAGGCAAATTCAAAATTCGATTCCCCCTCGCCACCCTTTTAAATTTCAACTACCATCCACTGGTGCCGTCATATTTCGCCTTCTCCCTTCGTATTCATCAGTTTGATTTATATGCCTTTTTAGTGGAATAACAAAAATTTGTACTTTGCTGTGGAATAGGGACAAAGGGGGGCATGAGCGTGGGCGTGTGTGTTCTGTGAATTAAGATGAAGTAGACAATCTGTAAATGGAGTCCCTACACCCTTGGGACTCCTCTTGCTGCCACTACTTAATGTCTTCTTCCCCTCCTTCTTCAACTCCTCCTCCTTTTTCACTCACCCAGCACCCTCCGAACCTAATCCTCCCTTCACCGGAACCCTAGCTACTTAAAACTCCCCCCTTACACTTTACGATTATCTCAGACCCTATTTCTGATCTCCCGAAAATCTTCCCCCCTTGTTTTCGAATAATTGAAAACCTGGAATCCGTAATTGGATGTCAAACGGTCAATCAATTATTATCAACTCGCGACAATTATTATTTTTTAAATGTAAGTGTTTTTCTATGATATGTTCACCTATAATAAAATATTACCTTGACATCAAAATAAATTGACCATTCGGTAGACTCGCAAGTGGACTTGCCTGGTCATAACGATAATACAGTAAGACTATATTTCAAGGAGAACCGAGGATACAAATCCGAAATAGCGAAGGCTATCCTCCGCGCCCAAGGAATGAAGTGATTTCTTGAATACGGACCTTGGAAAAAGATTTACTCGTCTTGATTTTATAGGATAAAAATAAGGAATTGCCCAGAATCATAAACTAAAGGGAAACAAATCCAGAGTAGTATAGTCAGGCGATCAAGTTGGCTAGTCCAAACATAGAAACATTTTTCAAAATCCATCACTTCAGAAAGTAGACAAAATTTTCCAGTGTAGTTACGAATCATCTCCAAGATTTTCCCATTCAGATTCATGTAAAATATGATTCTGTTTCGCCCTGATAGTGAATCCCTGTCAATTTTAAATTTATATTTCCCTGTCAATTAAAAAATTTCTTTTCGGGGAATGTGCGTTCCAGCCGAATTTCATTGGTATTCCATTCGCGAAAAAGAAATCGTCCTTAATTAATTTCACAAGTTTTTGAAAACCAGCACATGCTTTATTTATTGCAGTCATAGAGTAGTATCGATTTCGTTCAAAAACTGAACCACAGGCAAATAGGTTCGAAATGGTTGAAATAGTTTTCAACAACCTCGCCTCTTTAAAACACAAAGATCTTACATAAATAATACAACTGAACCAGAAAATGAATGAAGTTTAGTTTGATTAAAATAATTTTAGTTTAATTTTAAGTATAGTTTTAAGTTTAGTTTAATTAAAATTATTTTTACATTTTCTTTAAATACCAAAAGTGAAATTAAATTAAATTACATATTGCCATTTTGATACCGGGTCGATAAATACGTAATGGCGATTATTCACGTTTATCGTGCACCCCCAAATACATCGTTTGTACAGGTGCAATTGATGAGGCACGCTATGATGCTGAGATTTGGCCATGAAGAGTAATCTGGAAAACTAAGAAGAGAAATTACAAAATAAATAAACAGCATACGAGGAAAATACCTTACTAATTACTAATAAAGTAGTTCGATAGAACGCCTTTAGTAATTGCCAAATGTTACACGAAAAAACAAGCCGAAAGAAATAAACCATCCCAGATTTTAATGTACTCAGTGTTATACAGTTGATAAACAGAATTATTGGACATATGAAATTTCGGCCGCCCTCAGAAACGATGTAGATAAGGCTTTTGATAAAAACTGATTATCAAAGACGTTCGTCATTAATCTAGACTTTCGGATCTACATCTTCTGCCTGCAGCGTGTCAAGCAGACTCCAGAATCACAGTCTAGAAAAAAGTTGATCTCATATACATAAAGAATGTACAGTAGGTAGTTCAAAACGGTATAAGAATTAATTAGCTCGTATAATATATTTTTTTTAAATTCCAATATTGTATGATGATATTTTCAGTTTATAGCGTACTGAAATGGTTCGACGGTATTTTGCTGAAAACCTTAGAAGTTCGAATATATATTAGGTGGAGGTTTATATCTTATATGACCCTCGTGGGCCTGTCAAATATGAAAAAGGGACCGTGAAACAGAAACAGTTTGCCTTTGCTGAAATGAAATCAGACATGTATGTGAGTGAGAGTGAGAGTGTGAGTGTGAGTGTGAGTGTGTGTCTGTCGTAACAAATTAATCTGTGATAATTTTAACAAATATTTATGCTGTGTCGAAAAATCACTATTTCATTTTTTAACTGGGAAAAGACAACCCAATCCCAAGATGGAATTTGTTAAAAATAATAGTAAATAACCATAAAACCAAACATCCAAGGGCTCGAGCGATCAAAAACAAAAATAGGTGTCAATCTGTGGTTTTCGCCATTTCTTACGTCTACGGCGTACAGTTTCTTGCAAAAACGGTTAAAAGACCCCCATATGTTGAATATTTTATTAAGGGGTTTATAAAGTACTCAACTTCTCACGACCGCTACTTTTTGTTAAAATAAAAAACTATGAACAAAATATGATATTAGCTTTCGTAAATTATGATCCCAATATTTTCCATTACAACATATTAAGCCAGTTTTTGTTGGGTAGCCAAGAAATTGATTGTTTACAGCCCCAATTGGGGGAACATTTATTAAAACAAGTTTTATAAGAAGTTGAAGTTTTAATAAAGTCAAAGTTTCTCAACTATTTTACTCTTTATTGAAGAAAAAACCTCGTGGTCGGTCTCACTCCCAGTTCTTCGATTAAGGCCATTTGTATCAATATTTTGGACAAAACTGTGAAACTCGTGGTCATAATAATGATAATTATTAATCGCGTGAGTAAATTTAAATTCAAAAGAATCCCGGCCCAAGAAAGGATCGGGCCAAAGGTTCAAGAAAGGCAAAATGAATTTTTTCACTGCGCATGTTAAACCGGCAGGTGTGGAGTTGTGTCTGGAGAGTAGGAAGTGATTTTTAACATTCTTCGGGCTGGGAACCTGTTTGTGTGGCAACCTCTCTCTGTCTCTCCTTTGGGGAGCACCTGTCACTCTCCTCCACCCTCTATGTCATGTCAATTAACCTTGTTTTATGCCATGAGAGGCTTCTGTGTTATTTACAATAAATACCGGTAGGGATAGCACGATATAGGCTATTTGCGAATAAGAAAAGACGGAAAACTCACCATTCCATTGTCCATTGTGGCATAGGGCGACTGGAAACCGGGCTTTTCTGTAAAGAGAAAACAAAAGAAATCAGTAACACTATCGTTCCTGCATTATTATTATTATAGTAAATTATATATATAAATTATGTAAACAATATGTTTCAGTTAATGCCTCGAGCCAACTAGGCGAAATGAGGACTAAACAAATATGTGACATATGTTTCCTTTATTAACCGATTATCATCTCATAAATGATTTGTAAACACTTAACACAACCGGTTTACTGTTGCTTTACTCTACTATACTTTTTTAAAAAGGAAAAATCGTTAAAACTTGCGACGACTTGCGTGCAAAGCAAAAGGTGGTTTGCCAGGTTTAAAGAAAGAATTTTTCCTGAAGACAAAGAAGGGTTCAGGGAGAAGAAAGGTATAAATGTCAATACAAAATATTCCACTCGAGTTAGCAGCAATCTTAAAGAAGATTAATTGACAGAAATTAAAAAAAAAATCACATTCAGTCCTATGAAGAAAGCATACCATCAAGATCCATTTCTTAAAAGATTACAAGGGGGATAAAAAGCATATTTCGGTACAACAATGCCATATGACCGACCATTAACCACTTCTAAGGGTTGAATTCACCCTGAGGTCATTCATTTGGTGGGATTATAGGGGAATCCTTTGGCAACCTCGTATATCTACTAAATTCCAAATTGGTTTAACTAAATGAAATTTTCTTGGAAAATAAAGGTGCGTAATGAAATAAAATGTTACTTGCTGCATTGCCCAAACACAAAATATGTAATTTGAATAAATAAATTGCTTTTTCAGCCTTTTGGTAGGACGAAAATAAAAAGATAAGAAATGTGGAAAAAGAAGAGAAGAGACTAAAGGAAGTCTTTAAAAATTGGTAAAAACAAATTATAAAATAGACATCATGAAAATCTTCATTAATAATTTTTGCTTTTACCAAAATATTCCCTTTTGGTGGGTTCGGAGGGAAATCCTATGGTAGTGATATTCTTTCTTAGAACGGAATCCATTCCTTCACTAAATAAAATATATTTAAAAGAAAAATTATGATGCTGATAGTAATAAATTATCGCAGCTTCGGCGTGCAACATTGCCCAACATGCCACAAATTTATTTATGCAAATAAAACTTTCCAGTTTATGGAATAATTACAACTAGCAATACAACAGTTTTTTCAGCTTTTGGGAAATAAATCAGTTGAAAAGGGGGTTGAAAAATGGATTCTGTACAACAATGTCAGAGGAACATGCATTAACCACTTCATGAGTTCACCAAACAGTCACCATTTTCCAAAATCGTAAGGGAATCTTTTGGTGGGAGTTTTCAACCGTAGAATGAAACAATTTAACAAACCATCAACTAAATTAGTTTACAAGGAAAATAATGTAAATATCACACAAATCAATTTAGGCAAAAACTACCTCTTAATGTAAAGAAAAAGAGTAGAAATTCAAGACTCCTTTTTGCAGCTTTTGGTATGAAGATAACTTTCATTAAAACTGTGATGAAACGAATTCTTTACAACAACGTCATATAAACATCAATTTGTAAGGGTGGATTTCACCAAAAGGTTTTGCTAGATCGGAGGAGAATCTTTAATGGAGCTTTCAACCGTAGGATGAAACAATCCAACAAACCATGAACTAAATTATATTTTCAAGGAAAATAATGATGCATATTGGAATATTGGTCCTACCGGGACACGTGCGACCACAAATAAATTTAAGCTAAACACTTTCCTCAATAGGAAAATAAAGTAGAAATTCAAGACCGTTTTATGCAGCTTTTGGTTTGAAGGTAACTTTCATAAATAAAAAGTGTGATGAAAAATGGATCCTTTATGAGAATGCCATATAAACATCCATTTGTAAGGGTGGATTTCACTAAAACGTCACCATTTCGAAGTAACAGAGAGGAATCTTTTGGATAGAGTTTTCTTCGTTAGAACAAGACTATTCTAACAAAACTATTCCATTAAACCATAGAGTAAATTAAATAATTATGGAGCATATTGGAATTAGTACCTGTGCACAGAATAATTTAAACAAAAAACTGTCTTTCAATGAAAATAAATTCAAGACGGGTTTGTGCAAAACAGGTATGAAAATAACGGTGTACAATGGTAGTGAAACATGGATTATTTAAAACAATGTCATATGAACGTCTATTAATCACTTGTAAGGGTAGATATTATCAAAAGATCACCATTTTGTATTATAGGAACAAGAAGAACTAAACTATATCAAAAAGCGTTGAACTAAATTTATACTATGTATAAGGAAACCAACGTTACATATGAATACAGTCTTAACCAGGACAAGCAAAATTACCTTAACATAAACTTATTTAAACAAATAAAACTTTCGGCCTAATGGAAGCGATAAAAGCAATGATTCAGGACTGAATTTTGCAGCTTTTGTTAGAAGACAACTGTCATTAAAAGAGTGCATTATCGGAGGAAATTTTTGGCCGAAGATCGAACCCTAGACTAAATAAACCCAATAAGGAAAATTATGGATCACATTGAAATAAATGGTCATACTGGCCCATTGTTGCAGGCAATATCACAAATTTATTAAAACAAATAAAACTTTCAGGTCTAATGAAACAGAAGAAGGAAGAAAGCAGTCAACATGTTTAATTTTTTCTGATGATTACGGACACATGAAAATATTAATTACAACGTATAATTTATAAACTAAACAACTACTGCAAACTACGCATTTTTTTAAACGTACAAGTAAAAATTTATAACGAACAATCTTTGCACATTTCACACTGAATATAAGAGAGATAACGCTGTAAAATAGACAAGCACATAACTCGCGCGCGCGCACATCATTATACGTTTAATTTACAAGGAAATTACTATTTACCGGTTGCAATTAATACATTAACTTTTAGAAAATTAATAATTCGACCGGTAAGGCGACCATACTGTTACTGAACTATTTGCAGTAAATCAATAATGAGATTGTTCCAGCGTTCCCATTCATTAAAGTCGAAAAGTGTTGGGTGGGCTTCCCATATGAATGTCGATAGTAATATTTCCATGTGTCCATAGTAATTTTTCCATATATATATATAACACTGCTAATAGTCGATACGCATTTTCGTTACAGTTTGTGAAGCGAGGAGAGAATATCCTTCTCCCCTCATCGTGACATCCTGATTCCTATTTTCCGCTCGAGCCAACTTAATACTTTGCCGCCCCCGAGCCCTTACCGTTCCATCACCTACTACGGCTACCTCACAGAGTTATTCTGAACCGCCCTTTTTTCGCAATAAATTATAGATTACCAACTTCTTCTGGCAAGATGGAGATCCGCGTAAATTTGGTGGGGCAAAAAGAAGAGATAAAAAGGGTCTGAAGGTATGTAATGCACCATTTCAAACCTGCCACTGTTCTTACATTTTCTATTATTTCTGTCTTTTTTACACATCTTTGTATGTAATCAATTGAACATCTTTAAAACCGGCAGGAATCATGCCAAAAGGTTACCAGAACTACTAATAATCTTGTAATAATACGAAGAATTTCAACCACCTTATCTACTAGTCAATTCTGACAATTTACTACGCTTATAAACATTGGCTAATATATTTCAACTCAAAATTAAATCTATAAACTATATTCTACTCATTCTTAATTCCTGCAAATTCTTTGGCATCACTGGGCAACTTTGTACCCTCTTTGACATCTCGGCCCAAAGGTGTTCCATAGGGTTTAAGTCGGGATTATGTGTTGGCCACTCCAAACATTGAATTGAAGCCCGTTCGAAGTAGTCTCCACCTAGCTGTGTGGGGCCTTGCATTGAATATGCATAAAAACAAAACCGTCGCCAATTAGTAGCATATAAGGAACATCTCTGATAGCACATCTCCGACGTATCGCGCACCTGTTAGGGAGCACACGATGGAGATCAAGTTTGTGCGACCTTCTATAGAAATGCCTGACCAAACCATAACACCACCACCCTCTGTAGTTTCTCCGGAGTGAAAATGATACATCGTTCTCTTGTTCTTCTCCAAACCCTCTCTCAGCCGCAAGAAGGCCTCAAAACCTTGACTCATCCGAAAACAAGATTTTAGTTCAATCGTAATCAAACCAATTGATGGGATTTATTTAAACTTAACAGATTTGTTATGTGCCTTATCAGAAGAGCTGGACCTTTCCTACGTATTCCAGCTTCTGAAAGTCGACGTCTTAGAGTGCGTAAACTAACATTAACATTTCTAACTTGTTGAAGTCGTTGCTTAACCTCAATAGCGGTAGAATATCGAAAACGGAGTACATTCGAAACATTAAAACGAACAATCAATTAAGGTTTTTAGTTGAGATAAAAAAGTCAATGGCACGAGCGGGATTCGAACCCACGATCTTCGGCTAGATACGCAGCTGCTCTACCACTTGAGCTATCGTGACCTGGATCCACTCGGACACTAACTTCCCATCTCAACCCCACCTTTTGAATTTTCCCTCCTTTTTGCCATTTTTCAAATGTCGTGTAATCGGATTGGATTCTCGACGACAAATGAAATGGCCACGGAGAGCTTTAGTGAAGTATACTTCATTTTAAATCATTAAATTCACTAATTTCGTGGTCCGCTTGACCAATTAATATATTACAATTAATTAAGGTTTTTAGTTGAGACAAAAAAGTCAATGGCACGAGCGGGATGAAAAATGGCAAAACGGAGGGAAAATTCAAAAGGTGGGGTTCAGATGGGAAGTTAGTGTCCGAGTGGATCGAGGTCACGCTAGCTCAAGTGGTAGAGCAGCGGCGTATCTAGCCGAAGATCGAGGGTTCGAATCCCGCTCGTGCCATTGACTTTTTTATCTTAACTAAAAACCTTAATTAATTGAAAGATGTTAATTGGTCAAGCGGACCATGAAACTAGTGAATGTTAAATAACATTGATGACTGAGACTATCGAATCTTTTATTGCTGTAACTTGACGTGAAGGCCTTTTACAGGTTTAACCCATCAAAATCAGTATCATCTATCAAACCTAGTACACGGGCTTTGTCA